CCGCTATCTGAAGGAAGGTAGAATACTAATATACCTTCTCCCCGCTATCTGAAGGAAGGTAGAATACTACTATACCTTCTCCCCGCTATCTGAAGGAAGGTAGAACACAAGTATTGTTAGGAAAGATATCCCCATACAAGGAATTATCAGGTTTACTGTGTAGAATAAGGTCTAAAAGTTGTTGTCATTTTAGACAAGAAAAATAAGAGAAAGATCTGTATATTTTTTTCATCATAAAGCTAAATTTAAACAGAGGCCAGAGCTTTTTGGCTTGTCAATCTACTCGGAGGCAGTAATCTTTATGAATTCCAAAGGATTATGCAAAAATACATTTTAAATTAAGAAGAGACATTACTGGCACGAATTCATGATCTCGTAGCTCCTGTAGTATTTAAATCTCAAAAAATGCAGACCACATTTTGGAATGGCAGGACAATGGCTATTTTGTGATTATAATTTCATCAATATACTATTAATAAACTTAGATTGTAAAATCGTCTGATTAATTGTAAATCAATTCCGGGTCTTTCTGATTAGCACTGTATAAATTCAAAACAATGTTGTTTCTCGTGTGAGCTCTTGAATGAAAGAAGTTATGATTGAAAACATTTATATTTTAATTTTACGCGCAAAGGAACTAAGTTTTTCAAATTCCTATATCTTTGCAACCTGATGGTGCAAACCCATAGAGTAATAAAACGAAGAGGTAAAGGTAACCTCAGATGTACACAACCGACCTCCCTATTAATTAANTGAACCAAACTCTTTATATCTCCGGTAATATTGAAAGCACAAAAAACGCAGACCACTTTTTGGAAATGCCCGGGCTAGGAGAATTATATGATAATTGTTTCAAGAATCATACATGTTAAAGTAGATAGAAGACTAAATGTCACAAATAAATATAAATATCAAAGACGACTTTCAAGTCGTCTTGCTATTGTCATGTTTCGTGGGACACCCTGTGCGTAAACATATCGTGATGTACACAACCGACCACTCTATTAATTACGGTGGTTGGTGTGTACATCTGATGTAAGCTTTACCTCTTCGTTTTATTACTCTATGTGTAAACCTCTGAATTTAAAACTTAGATTATTTGATCCAACAGAATTTCTAGTTTGATATCATAAGGTTTATGACATTGAATTGCAAAAATAAATGGATTAGAAAATTCAATTCTTTTCTTTAGTTTCGATCAATTTTTAAATGTCTAAGTTTAAATATTTAAATGGCAACATTCCTTTCTTCTCATTGTTATATTAAAGGTAATATCTAGATAGGGTTCATCACAGCAGGTATAAAACTTCACATTTCTTATTGCTGGAACCTAAACAAAATAATATTAGCAAAAATTACAAAAATGTTAAAATTAAGTTTCTTAAAAATATATATATTTCTTTGAGAAATATTAGGAACACGTAATAATCATATGTTTATGGCTTTATAAAAAGTCCACCTAATTAGTATAGAACTGTTTTAGAACATTCCTGTGGTTAGTCAAGGGGTCCAAGAGTTATGATAGGACATACAAGCAGACAGACACCAAAACACGGATTACTTCTTTATATGTATGGATATAATAAAACATATTTACTATTAAAAAATTTATCTTTTTTAACAAATTTTACAAAACACAATTTAAACAGGGAGAGATTCGTGAAAGTTTATTTTTACTATAGAGGCTTATCAAAACGTTTCCTCTTGTTTAAAAAAAACTATTTAAACTCCTGAACAAAAAATATATTTAAAGCTGAGAACTTTTGTGTCGGATAGTCATAATTCCGATTGCTTGATATCAGTATACCAATGTTGGCACTTTTAATTTTAGGATCTTTTATTTCTTATCTTCATTTTCGTTATTCCCTTTCTGATTATAGCTCCCTTCAATCCAGAATGGAGTGATTACCTTGCGAGATATCGAATAAAGATTGAGTTAATCAAGGTGCTAATGCAAGGAAAGTTATTTCAGGGGTGTATGCATTTTTTGTACTGCAGTGTACTGTCTTTGGGCGGAAAAGTAAACACAAGACGGATGTCACAGTCTGAAAATAATCTATGAAATATTCTGGTCATGGGAAACTATTATGTGAATTTTCAAAGTTATCAAAATTAAATGCTTTTAACCTCCTCGGATACCATACGATCACTGATGCATCTATTTTTGTTTACAAATTCCGCCCATAGAGAACTAGTTTCAATATGTATGCAGAGTATACGCGACCGCAAGTAACATTCCTTGCATAAGTACCTTGGAGCTAATCAGCTTGTTAATAGAATATCAGACCAAGTATTGGTCTCCATATCCAAAATTCAAGATACAATCCCAGNCCCCATGATACTTCACTGTGCGACATCAGGATACAAGGCTTTAATCGATGGGTTAATTCAATTACGTTTTGCTATCCCTATACATCTTCAATATATTATCATACATTTTTTTTGGTTTAGTTTTTTTTTCTTGGGAAATATTTTTAATACTAGCTGAAAGGTTGGAGGTTCAGTTAAGTAAGACGGATTCTATGTAATATCTGTCATATAATTCTTCTAAGCCATCCTGTTGGCGGAAATTGGATTAGGCATTCGTTTTTACAAATTGTTCACAAGCATCCATAATAGTTGACGATTATAACAGTGTAAATACAGGGTTACCACCTAAACTGTAAATACAGGGTTACCACCTAAACTGTAAAGACGACCTGAATCTCTTTATATATGAAATATAATATATAAATATATATATAAAATATATGACATCTTTGTTTTTCTCACTGTATATAATGTTGTTTATACCTGAAACCCGTCGTAGGTCCAACTACCGAACTTCATGACACAGGTCTGCTCGTCGAAGGGGAAGTACTCGACGTCCATCTCACAGGAGGAGTGGTAGATAGCTGGAGGCTTCCATTCAACTGTAACACATAAATTAGTGAAATATATTGTTTTTCAGGGGTTATTTAGAGCAAGAGCCCAAACCCCCTGGACAAATTCCTGTGTACGCCCTTGAATATATTCAAAATACAGGTTTAAAGTAAATCTCCTAAACAATATTCAAGATAAAAAACACGACGATTTCTTCCACATTATTAATCTTGTAAAGGTTTAAAGCGTATCTTTCAATCATGGGTCATTTAATGTTACAACCACAATTCAGCTTTAATGATTTATACATTTAAAGAGAACTAGGCTTTTAGGGCGCTTGGTGCCATATTCTATTTCAAGTTTTAGTTGGGGCTCTTTCTGGGAGCATCTTCTCTTTGTACAATATAAAACCAACAAAATTACGCGGATTTTCAATATTTTACGAAAAAAAAGGTTGGAGACAAATTTTTTTTAAATTCGGAGGATGCAAGGTCCCACAAAATTTGTGCCGGATTGGTTCAGCCGTTTTCGCGTTTATTGGATACAAACAGACAGGCATAGTATATGTACACCCTATTGCGTATTTTTTGAATTGTTCATATGCAAATTTTAAATCAGAGTCACTCATAGTGTTGTACAGAGATCTAGGCCTTTAGCCGTATATACGATATTTCTTTCATTCCATGGGATATTAGAAAATCATCAAATTAAAGTTTTTGTTGTTTTTGAAAATGAGACTTTATTAAATATAGTAATTCATACAATTAGATGTTTAAACCCAAATAATTGCTAAACTTTCTATTTGTATTACAAATTGTAAAATGTCGACTCCTGAAAGTCCTGAAACATTCTGTAGAAATATGCCAGCCAAGACAGTGCGAATACCCACCTCACTGAGCACTTTTGATGCTTTATTATTTGGTTTATGTTTCTAATATCAAAAATATTATTGTTTGTAAAGATTTGAGAATAACAACCTGCAATTGCACGCCGAGAATTTTTTAGATTTTTTGCTACGATTTGTTTTCTATTGCAGGGGTGTATATTCCCCTCCTCTTTAAACATATATTTTATCACTGAATAGGGGAAATAAATGATTTCTAAGGGGAAATATCTGAAAATAATCAAAAGGATGAAAATGTTTGATGTTTAATTTTTTTCATTTTGTTTCCCCAAATTCATAACCTTCTCCCCCCCTCCCCTCCCGGGGGTACGGGAGGTAATTCTCAAAATGATACAGCCCTGTATAAAGACCCATTCTATCTTTTTCCATGTGGTCTACCTTTCTTGTATTTAAAAATTGACGAATATATTAGATAATCAGACAATTTTGATTTATTAAACAAAATTTAATTTGTACTAATTTTGCAATATCTCCATCAATTTTGAAGATACCCAAAATGGAGAAAATCTCAAGACCAGGCGTGTTCTATATTAGATGTTGAAGCTGGATATAAAAGTCGTCTGTGAATTTTCATGTTTTTTGGGACACCCTGTAATTACCTTTTCCAGTACTGTGCAGGGTAGCTTTAGTTGCCAAGGTAACCTCAAAATTCCCGTCGGCACTGAAAATATTAAAATATAAATATTTTTTGATTTGTCAACAATCCAGGGAAAAATTTGAAAACCATCAGGCAAAAAGTCGGCTTTAAAATTTGTTTAAGAACGCGAGAACTATACTGTACTGAAAAAAGTATATTTTTGTTTCTTCGCGTAAAATAACACCGCGTTCTTATTGTATAAACAGAGAAAACTAATGATTTAATTCTTCTAGAGTGGGGAGGTGGNGTCTCCATAGATAATGACAATAAGTACATGAAACATTCTACTTACTTGATGTACAGTAAAATATCAGGTCTCCATAGATAATGACAATAAGTACATGAAACATTCTACTTACTTGATGTACAGTACAATATCAGGTCTCCATAGATAATGACTATAAGTACATGAAACATTTTACTTACTTGTTGTACAGTTCAATATCAGGTCTCCATGTGTAATCACTAAGTACATAAAATATTGTACTTACTTGTTGTACAGGACAATATCAGGTCTCCATATATGATCACTAAATACATATGGTACTTACTTGTTGTGCAGTACAATATCAGGTCTCCATATATGATCACTAAGTACATAAAGTACTTACTTGTTGTACAGTACAATATCAGGTCTCCATATATGATCACTAGGTACATGAAGCATTGTAACCCCGCCATATTCCTCTGGGTTCCATTGTAGTTTATAATCCTCCCAGAACTGCTCAACCCACAGATTTGTTGTCATGATTTGACTTTTCAAATTCTAAACACAAAAATCATTTATTTTTCCTTTGTTTATTGTTCCTTTAATTCTGACAATTTTCTTCTTTATTTCTGTCGTATAAATGTGAAAAGAAGCCAGAATTTGACTTTTCACTTAAAAAAATAGGATATCTAATTCCTCCTTTATCCGACAAATACTTTAAAATAAAAGATTTTCTTACTCCATAACTAAAAGGGCTGATTAGAATTACGTCTTTAAGTTTGTCTGTTTCTGTATTCCCTAACCTTTTTTTCCCTCAACGGAGAGCGATAGACCCTGTGTTTAAACTATTAATTTAAATTATATTTTCGAACAAAAATACACAACGTCAGAAAAATTAAATTTAATATTTTATTATTAAAGTGAGTATTCGTGAAGAAGGGAGTATTGCATTAATCATAATTAAATCCGTAATTGGCCGCTACAAAATTTACTTTCTAACCAGTGCTTACACGTCTGTCATGAAAAAATTGTAAAAAATGTTTTAACGCATATTAATTCTTCATTTTAATCCTAAATGTATTAATTTTAATTAGTTTAAATTCTAAAGAATATATTTATTCTATAAAGTATTACGTCAAATCCCAGTATTCACTATTCAGTTGTAAACTATTGCTAAAAATTTAACCAAGTAATGTAATGAACTGCTAAGAAAACAATAATCTTTAAAAACTTCCTTTTTATAGACTTTAGGGTTTCCTCCTTTTAAACTTCTATTTTTTAAAAATGTATTTCGAAATAAAAAATGTAGGGACATATAAATATGTGCGATATCTTTAACATTATTTTCATAATTTAGATACAAATTTTAGTAATTTTGCAATCTCGGTTGAAAATTACGAACAAAATGCTCTTTTTCTAGCAGTAACAGATAGGAAGCAATTCAAATTTAAATTGAATTTTGGATTGGTTTGAATCTGTGAACATGAAAGTTTGTATGATCGATCGGTATTTCCTTAATCCTGGAGATTACATAGTTTCAATTTTATATTTTACAAGAATAATATTTGGAAAAAGAAAAGTTTCTGAATTGATATAAAACCTTGACCATATGTTCATATACTAAAGTAAGAACCAGAAAACTGTGGTATAGAAAGAAAACTGATGTGTATTTCAATTTGTTGCAAAGCAAATGGCTTCACCAGTAAGTTATTAAATCACTTAAAAGAAATGGATTTGTTTACACTGTAAAATTGCAGGGACAAATGTTCATTGGACTATTTGAAGTCAAACCCCCACCACTACTCTACACACATATATCTAATCAGTTTGTTTTTAATCTTTGTGACAGAAACAATCTCAAGGAATAATAATTGTCTTAAAACATTTTTTTAAAAGTGAATATTTGCAAATTATCTTTTTCCATCTCATAATCTGAGTTCGATTCCCTAATGTACATTTGACAGACAAAATTTTTATTTTGAATAATCCTTTTTGTTTGTTTATTTTTTTTATCGATTTTGATGGCTATTTTATCGTTAGAACTGACGAGGGTCAACCCAGACCGAAATATATTTTCAATAAATGTGGAACAAACATCTACAAAGGTTTGGTCCATCACCATCACCAAATTTTAATTCATAATCCAGAGTTTCCTGGTTAGCACTGTTTATATACAGATACTACACAGATTCTTGAAAACCTCTAATGGTACCACCCGGTACAAGAAGTAGAATATTTTTCAAAAAACTAAACAATTGAAAAATAATTTTATTTTAATTCCTATAGCATTGCATTGTGATAATTAAATTATTTGGTTAAGAAGAATTCATAGTTTGTAATATCAAGGCCCAACGGTTTGCAACATTAAGGGGCAAAAATATAAGGTTAACAATTTTAGTTTGAGGCAAATAAAAGCTTTAGGGACAGAATTTTATGAATCTAAACCACCATACCATCGATTCAAAGTTTAATCACTCATACAACTCATCCTAATCTGTAACTTTGAATCGGTTGTTCAAATCGGCAGTTATTAGTTCAGCTACGTGGCATTAAATTTGGTCCCAGTTCATTCCCAAAAAAAATATTTGTGATTAAAAATCATTATTTTGAGACACACTGTTCTATTTAAAGGTGAAGGAATGAGGGTAAAGTTAGATTGTTTATATATGTACAGTGTACACTTTATATACAACTTTTAAGTATAGGGATAGAGGAGGGATTAGTATGGATTGAGGAAACTGGCAGGAGGGAGGAGGGAATAAAGCAGACGGAGAGAATAGAGAATTCTCATGTTTTTTGGG